TTGAAACCTGAAACAAAACTGCGGTATCATTTTAATCCAACTAAGTTTCATCGCCATGCAGTTTGCCTCGAGGGAGGATGCTCTGAGAAACACTCTGGATATAGTGATGGGTTCTTTTCAGGGGAGCTTCAGTGAGGGGTTTTTTTAAGTCACTAAATGAACAATATCTGAAGACCAAAGCCAATACGTTTCTTTCATTTGCAGTTATATAAATGCCAATTTGTGATCATTTTCAGTTTCACGCGTGTGTAATTTTGATCAGATAATTCTGGAAGAGTCAGCGAATTTTTTCCCACCAAGTCTGATTACACCCTGCTGGAGTTTTTTTCTTTTTTTATTATAAAAACTTACATTCTATCAGATGAAATTTGGCAAGGTTTCGAATGTGCATACATTGTTTTTCCTGAGCACGGCAGAACGGGCAACACCCCGCGGTGGAAGTTCCGAGATAACTTTCGGACCGGTGTCGGAGCGATAGTGCGTCGGATGTCACCGGGAAATCAAACGGATGGATGAGGGGAGGGGGCCAGGGGTGCGCAGGCGTAGGAGAAGGGAGCGGCGTCCCCCCTCCTCCCCCTCCGTGTACCGTCGGCTTTTGGACCCACCGCAGGACCCCTGCCCAGGAAGGGGGGGGCGGAGGTGGCCCTCGAATAAAATGAAAACTTATCACATAAATGTAGACGTAATTAATTGAAGAGCGGAAGAGAGCCGGGAGAATAAATTAAGAGAGGGCCAAACCCCCCTCTCCCCCGCTTCCTTCGGATTTGGAGATCCCTACGCGGTTGTCGGATAGAATCGGGTTATCGCGGATTTTTCCGCCGAGCCCGAGTAAAATTCCTGCTTTAAAAGCCAAATCATTCGAGCACTGGTCCCTTCTCGGAAAGAGGGTACATTACGGAAATATTTAAAAAATTCCTCCCACAACACTAACAGAAGTGTTGCAGGGTGTCTGCAAGTCCGGAAATAGTACTGATTATTCAAGGGCGGTCCGGAAGTTCTGAAAATGTCCGGTAATTCCGTTAAAGGTCCGGAATTTTTTTCGTTCTTTTGTCGCAATTCGAGCGAGATGTTCGAATTTTTTAAATTTTTCGAATTTCGTTTATTGGACGTACTGAAAAAGTACTGAATTTTCCCGCTGAGGAGATACTGAATTTTTTGGGACTGTAAGTAGTACACTAAAGTACTGTTAAGTATACCGTAGAAGTACTGATTTTTGGCCAGCTTGTTTTAGTAGACACCCCGGTAAGTTTTATCAATGGTCGTTAATCATTAAAGTTTGTATGAACTTCAATCTATAAGTGTCCGAGTTCCGATGTAAGTCACCAGCAGTGGCCAGAAAGTAAGAACGAAAGCTTCAAAAGTGTTTTTCTCACAACGCGATTTTTTGGTATGTGCCCTATGCCCGGAAAGCTCCTCAATTTTATGAACCCTTCGACCATTTTTAAACCTCATTTTAAAGTAAGGAGTTGTAAATCTTGTGTATCACATCCGAAAAACTTTTGGAGGGAGTAAGGACGCATCACCTGTTAAGGCCGCGCCAATTTTTCACCCGTCATTTTGTATCCAGCACCCTTTATGTTGAGGCGCACGGAGCCCGTGAAATCATAGCACTTACCTCGAGCAACTATTTTAATCTCCGAAGTTGAAGTTGCATATCCTACAAAATGACGTAAATTGACGCGCGCGGTGACTGAAACGTCGCACTCTTGAACGTGGCTTTCAACGGCCTGGTGCTGTGCCGGCTAAACAGGGTCTATTTTCGAGCTCCAAGTCTGAAATAGCCGCGATCCTTTTGAGAGCCCGTTCTAACGAGGAACCACCGCTTTTAACCATCCCTCCACGTATTTGACAGACAGGCCTGAGTTAGAGGGATCATCCTGCGACGTCAGCCCCAACCAAGGTTGCAAATTGCTTTCACGCGAATGGTTTTGGCGCCAGCCAGGAGTGACGTTGCACCAGCTTCCACTAGCCAGGGGTACGGTTGACCCAACCTTGACAATACCTTTGCTTTGGAGGAAGAAGTAACTGACATTTTGTGCTTGTTATATGGGGAGTAGAAGTGTAGAACACACATAGAAATGAACGTGATGTTAATATTTTTGGTTAGTTTTTCTTTGGGCTACATTGACCGAATCTTTGGGTCGGGAAATTGCAACCTGGTTAGGAAAATCAGGCGCGAACCGCTAGGATCGAACCTGCGGGCTGATTGTTGAAATAGATAGACAAAGCTATGGACAAAGAATACATAAGGAGTATGGTGATCCTATTGGTTAAAATGAGTGGCTCGTAGACTTATGGAGAAAATGTTGGACTAAATATGGGGTCTCTCGTGGGTTGCCGTCATTTAGTCCGTTTCCTGTCTTCTTTGTCCATTCCAACCAACCTCTGCCACCAATAGGATCCCTCCATATACATTTTGTCTTCTCTGTCTATCGTTTTGTCTATCGTTTTGTCTATCGTTTTGTCTATCGTTTTGTGTCTATCGTTTTGTCTATCGTTTTGTCTATCGTTTTGTCTATCAATTTCAACAAGCAGCCTCTCGCAAGTCGGCACAAGAGTACAATAGTCCAGCTTCCAGCAGGAAACTTTTTCATCCCCTTATGTCTCAGAATAACCTAATGTAAAGTTCTGGTTGATTTAACCGAAAATTGTTTTGAGCAGCCAAATCGGTTTGGCTGCCTAACCTAAAGGAACCTTAAGGAAACCAACCCAAAGTGACCGTAAATTCGTACATTTCTAACCGTGTGGCTGGTGCTACTAAATTCCTCGACTCATTGTCAGTCAGGTTATACTTAAAAAGTCATACTTTTTTTCCGTTATTGTTTTTTTTTTCTTTATTTCTTCCTTTAGAGATCGTCATTCCTTACTAATTGCGACAGCCCCGCATGCCCTCTACGTGGCAACTTGGGGCGATAGCCTGCGACTTATCACTCGACTATTTCTGCCGGCGCGGCGCGGTGGCGGTGGCGGTGGCGGTCGCAGCAGGAAGCGGCACGCGTGTGGGAGTCGACGCGCGCACACACACGCACCGGAAGTGTGACGTCACCGTTTGTCCCCTGCCCCTGCCCCCTGGACGGCGCGGCGCGGCGCACATTGGTTCCGAGACCCGATCTAGGTGGCATTAATTCGAAAAAATGAATTTTGGAAAAATTAAAATTTGACACCACAGATTGATAGTGCATACTCTCGAGAGTAACTTGGCCAAATATCATGAANCACTCGACTATTTCTGCCGGCGCGGCGCGGTGGCGGTGGCGGTCGCAGCAGGAAGCGGCACGCGTGTGGGAGTCGACGCGCGCACACACACGCACCGGAAGTGTGACGTCACCGTTTGTCCCCTGCCCCTGCCTCCTGGACGGCGCGGCGCGGCGCGGCGCGGGGCGGCTCGGCGACCTAACGAGGGTTATTAGTTATCTGCGTCTCCTACACTAGGAGTCGGTCTTGCAGCTTATCACCCTCCAGGCGTGGTCCCGTCGTGTCGTCACCCGGCGGGGTCCCCGCGTCATCTAACGGGACGAGGTCCGGGTCCTTTCTGTGCACGGAGAAAAAAACTTCGTGCGTGGGACCCGAAGTTTAGGTCATATGGATCTCTGAAGTTTTCGGATTGAGCATCTAAAATCTTTAGGTCCAGCTGCTGAGGTTTGGATCACACATCTGAAACTTCAGTTCTTACATCTGAAGTACTTCGGTTTTCACATCCGAACAACTTCGGTTCTCACAGCCGAAAAACTTCGGTTCTCACATCTGAAGTAAGTACTTCAGATGTAAGAACTGGAGTTTCAGATGTGTAATCCGAACCTCGACAGCTAGACCTAAAGTGTTCAGATACTCAATCCGAAAACTTCAGAGATCCATATGACCTAAACTTCGGGTCCCACGCACGAGGTTTTTTTCTCCGTGTGCCTCCGCCCGCGAACCCGAGAGCCGCAGCGTGTCTATCGCTCGGGAAAAGTCTAAAGGTCAGCACGGGAACATCAGGGTGGGGTATGGCCCTCGGTTGGAGAGTACGGGGAAAGTCGTGGCTTCGGGAGCACCTGGAAAAGTCAGGGTGAGACATTCAAATGAACCGAAAGTCAAGAAAAATTTGGATTCACGAGTAGAGCGAATTTTTACGTTTCGCATCTGATAATCTTGACCCCCGTATGGGGGACTGTTGTNCCTGGAAAAGTCAGGGTGAGACATTCAAATGAACCGAAAGTCAAGAAAAATTTGGATTTACGAGTAGAGCGTATTTTTACGTTTCGCATCTGATAATCTTGACTTGCAGGGTCTCCGGTGATCTGGAGAACCTTGGAAGTCAAGCATCTTACGGCTGATTATCGAAATAGATAGACAAAGCAATAGACTAAAAAAACAACGAGCAAATGGAGCAATCTGGAGGGTGAAGATAACACACGAACCATGGGGTCTCTCGTAGGTTGCCGCCAGCTAGTGAATTTTTTCCCCTTCTATAACAACCACCCACTTCAAAAAATGGGATATTTTCATTTTCTCTTCGTTTTCTGTGTCTATCGCTTTGTTTATAGATGTCAATAACGAGTTCTCTGAAAAAGACAGAGTTGAGGAATTCACATATGAAAAGTCAAGGAGTTTTCTGAGCAGCGCGCGTTTCGGTTCAACTCATCAGGCGATTGCTGTCTATTTCCATGAGAGGAGCCCCTGTAATGCGCCGATAGGCAACTTTCGCTGCACCCGGATGTAGTGGCAATAATTATATTGTGGAATCGCAATTTATCGCAGCTAGCTTCAACTTTTACGCGGGAAGTATTTTCCTAATTTCAAGCGATGACCTTTTGAAACGTGCCTGCCGTGCGGTCATGCATTTATCCATTTGCTTAAGGGCGCATTTCGCGTGATCGTTGAGTTTCATTATGTTAGTTTAGCGGGGCCGTTTTTTGCTTCCGCGATATCGTTTGAGGTTCCTCCTCTGCTTTTTCAGTTTGTTGACTAGCTGTTTTTTCGTTAGTTTCTAACATGGGACTATTGTGTTGATTGTACAGGCGAGAATGACGCTGAAAAATCCCTAAGACGCCATACCAAGAACTTGGGATGTAACGAAGGAGCAACCATGTGGCTTATGGACTACCCACAACAGACGCAATCCTTAAAACAAGGTAAGGCAGTCTCCGAACGCTTTTTCTCATTTCTTTTGCTTGATTGTGATTTCACACTAACCAAAACTTCTGCAAAACTCAGCAATTTATGGTACAATCGCTGCTCGGTGTACGATGTCCACCCTCAAAGAATAGCATATCCCGTCAAAAACTCAATTTTTGAAAAATTTGCCTTTTCTCTCTTTTCCAAAAAATCCCTTCAAATACCGAGGGAATTTTTTAATTTCACTAAGCTTCCAAACCTTAAGCCTATTTAATACATTTTTGACGTAATTTTTGCACGGTCTAACTTGTGAAAGTCTAATCAGTCGACTGTGTCAGCAACAGACATGTTACAAATTTGTGATATCTTTTTCCTTTAAGCGGTTTAAGTTTTTCGAGATTGTATGCAGAGGGCGAACCACTGCGCAATCACCCTGTCCAACGTCATCAGTTTGACCTCCGAATGAGTAAACGGAAACTGTTATCAGTTGAAGGAAAGCCTCCCTGGTAATATTCACTGAACTAGGCATCTTGTTTTTGATAGCCTTCTTCATTCTGCTCTTATCGCCACATCCTGGAACCCAAAAACCGGGGATTACTAAAAAAATAAGCATGATAAGTTGCACTATAATCAGTGGTCCCTTTTCTTACGAAATCGTGACGGAAATGTCGAGAATAAACCCTTTCCGCCTCTTCTTTGTGGCATGACGCCTCTGGAAAGGAAGCTTTTTCCTCAGTTTAGAACTAGTAAGTCTCTCTGCGAGTAGTGAAGTGAATGTCGTAAATATTTGAAGTTTGCGTTCTCCTCTGCTTCTAGATCAATTTTTATTTCCCATAATTGATAATCCTTGCCGATTCGGCTTGAAAGAAACAGTCTGAACATGAAAAACAGGGTGTCTAGCATCAAGATTTGAGGTCTACCAGGATTTAATCCCGATTTCATCAGGATTTGAAGAAAAATCGGTCGTAAAATCAGGATTTGAGAAAAGCCGACCGTCCGCTTGTTTCCGTTAATTATCCGCTATCCGTCCGTTAATTTCTCTCCGCAAAAAGTCATTATTTTCCAAAATAAAAAAAAAAAAAACTAGACACCCTGAAGAAGGTAATTTTTCCCCAGAGCTTTGGAGAATGATCTTGACACCCCCCTCCCCCAATGATATAGGGAAGAATTTAAGGGAATCATGGGTTTTCATCCGAGGAAATCAGGATCAATCAGGGGATGAGAAAATCAAGAATTTGTGGTCCAGACAAGATACGTAGAAAGATGTAAAATGGCAATTCAAATCAAGTTGGAGGGAAGTCTTGCTAGATGAGTCAACGAGCGGAACGGAGTTCGATTCTGGGTATGGATGATTTCAATTTTTTTCAGGACCCTGACCGTGACCGCTTGACGCAGTGCGAAACCCCTCCTTTCCCACCGCGCGCCGTTATGTTAGTCATCGACGGTGAAACCACGAAATCGCGTGTTTCGGCTCCTATAGATTTCTCCTCACATTTTACTTTTTTTTAAAGAGATGTCTCATCATCGTTATTTCCCAAATTTTGCACTATTTATCTTTCACTCCATCAAAAACGATCATTGAATATTACGCTATTGCGACTTCCGAAATTTCAAAGAACTATAGTCCTACAGCAACCTGGAAAACTTGAGATCACCGGCCATTGAAAAAAATCAGTATATCTTTTGTCATATTCTAGAAAAAAAGGAGATGGGAGTAGTTTTGAGCTTGGCTGGTCGCACATTTCCTCCTGCGAAAAATTCGAAGTTGAGAAAAAATATTTGGATCGTGTTAATGGACGTAGAATTTTATTTTTAATTTTGGGAGGAATAAAAACTCGAATTTATTTTTCTCGGCTCGACCTCGATGGTTCATTTCTGTCGCAGTGGCGGGCGTGGCGTATTTTGCGATAAATCGATTAAGCTACCATTTAAACCCATGAAGAAGAATCAATGGTCAGGGCGCCTGCAACGACCACCTTAATAATCGATTCTTTACCATAGCTTCAAATGGGGAAATATCGATTGGATTATCGATTATTCACGCCACGTCACATCTCTACACTGGAAAAAAACACATTGGATCTAGAGTCCAGACTCTTAAAAACATCGACAAGAAAAAATACCCTTGATATAATCGGATTTTTGCTTAAATCAAGAACCAAGCCTCTTAATTTGAGCGGATTTCCTTTTGATTTAAGCAAAAATCTTATTGAATCAAGAGTAATTTTTCTTGTCAGTGTTTTCAAGAGTCTGGACTCTAGATCCCATGTGTTTTTTCTAGTGTATCGGACTCGGCCGAATATATGCACCGACAACGCAGTTTCGGGCGGCCGGCTTTAAGACTGTTTTTATTAGCGGGGGAAAAAAGAAAAAGCGCACGAAAAAGGTGTAAGAAATTCCGGGGACTCGCTCGTAAAAATTTAATCTTCATCGGAGGCATCGAAACGCACTCGGAGGAGCCTTGTAAAGCAGCCAATAGCCCCGCGCGGAGACACCTCGGACCCGGCGTCAAAACAACGCAACTCCCAGCGAAAGGCAATGGGAGATACGCTGTTACGTCCTGTCCTGGGGTCACCGGAAGTGCACGCAATTGGGTAAATAAAGCGTCCAATTAATTCCACGGCGTGACCGCAGTGCTCGCGATCGGGTCCGCTCCTCTCGGCCGGGTCTAAGCAAAAACAACGTTACTCCTATCGGAATCCGATGCAGGTACGAGGTTCTGACGGGACTTCGTGACGTCACGCTGCGTGAAGAGCGGACCGAAAGTTTTCGACAAGTTCTCGGGAGATGTTTCAATTCTCCCAGGGGGTGTCTACAGTGTAGGTGAGTGAATTAGCCCTTGATTGAGGTTTATAGGTGTGACCGCGGCTCTGTCGAGGGGATGGGGTGGTGGTGGTGGTTCGGGTAGGTCGTAATTGGTTCCGCAGCCTCGAGAAAAGAAGTAGCCGTGCTTTAAACAAATACTCACCAGACTAGATGAGGCGTGTCTTTACTTACCCTTCGCGTTATTCCTTCTCGAATACGGCCCCTTACGTTCTCCGATTTTTTCATATTTTTCTCGGCAGTTTGCAGGGACTGTTCCCCAACTAGGAAGCGGACATTACAATTTACGTTATTTCCAAAATTTTACACTCGCCCCCCTTTAAAAAACACCCTTAAATGATGATCTCGGTTCTACTCCTTAAAAAAAAAACTCCCCTTGAAAGATGATTTCGGTTCTACCTCTTAAACAACGATTTCCGTTCTATTGGGGTTTATGCAGCGTTCAGCGTGTAAAAGTACGTAAAAGTACCAATTTTCATTCATTACTTTTGTCAGAATCAAGAAAAAATGTTTTTCTGGCCCAAAATTTGAGAGTCTGTGATTCCATAAGGTCTGGAAACTGTGATACAACAAAAAAATCCTCCCTGAATATTTTAAACCCAAAAATCGGTTCTAAAAATGTTGCGTTTAACTCCTGGATACCTTGCATATTACTCAAAAACACTTTTAAAATATCATTGGAAAGTGTCTACTCATCTTAGCGGTTCGTATAACCTAGAGTACCTGAATAGCGAGAGTATAGACAGATGTGAAACTCCGAAAATTCATCAGGCCTTCACCGATGCCTCCGCGAATAAAGTTAGGGCCCAGAAATGCAGCCAACCTATGGAATGTCCAGAGTGATTTACAAATACAATTGTCACGAACCGTCGTTTATAAAGCATATGATTGGCTTACTTTTTGCATAATTTTACTTATTTTTGCGAAAGAACGCTCATTTATGTACATTCTTGGCCATCTTGGTTAGAATTGAAATCTGTAGGCTGGCAGTGAAATTTCGTGCATAGAAGTTGCTCAGAAGGGTGGCTGCACTTTTGGGCCCTAAGCTCTCTATCAAGCGATCTGTCCATACTCTCGCTATAAAGGTACTCTAGTATAACCGAGATTTTTTTCTCCATCCAGTGTTAAATTTTTGAGATGTGACAACGTGTCGTCAAAGAGAACCCCGTATACGCGGGGGCATTTTAGTGGAATCCGGTGGCAACCCCAAGAGATAGCTCCGTAATTGGTACAGTATTTTTCTCACCGACTGAAATGAAAGATTTATTCGACTGCTCACGGTTTTATCGACTCAGGGCTCATTAGCTCCCCGTCCTTTTCATCTCACAACAGACTTTATTGGTCCCATTGTCCTCGGCTTTTTCTCAAACTATAATAATTGGAACGCACCATTTTCAAACATCGTCGGAATCCGAACCTTACCTATCGTAATAAATCGTTGACACGCTCCTTATTTTCCATGTTTCGTTTTTACTTCGGTGTAATAAATAGCATTCACACTTTCAATTCCGCCTCCTCCTGTAAAAGAAACTAGCGGTCTCCTTCATAGTTTTTAAGAGAGATCCAAAACCACTTTTAGCCTTTGTATTCAGGGAATGCGCCGCGAAGCCCACATATTACGATTAGCAGTCCTTTTTCGTCGAATTATGTCCAAAAATCACTTTGTAGAGAGCTGATTATTGCAATGTATTGAAAGACAAAGTCAGAGAAAAGGAAAGATTGAGTGATCCATTTTTTCGAAAAGGCTGGGTGCAAACTAAAAGGGGAAATAAGAAAATTATTGACTAACTGTACACTGGAAAAAAAAACACATTGGATCTAGAGTCCAGACTCTTAAAAACATCGACAAGAAAAATACTCTTGATTCAATCGGATTTTTGCTTAAATCAAGAACCAAGCCTCTTAATTTAAGCGGATTTCCTTTTGATTTAAGATTAAATCTGATTGAATCAAAAGTATTTTTTCTTGTCAATGTTTCCAAGAGTCTGGACTCTAGATCCAATGTGGTTTTTTTTCCAGTGTATGGCCTCTCTTAGGCTGCTCTGTCCTCAGTCGGTCGATTATTTACCTGATTAGTTCATGACAACCACCCGCCTCCACTAATAGGATCATTTGTTGGTTCACTGTCTCCTTAGTCCATCTCTTTGCCTATCGATTTCAAGAATCAACCCTCACTTCGCTAGTGAGCATTTCAAATGGAGTAGTGCATGACAGTTTTCGTAGGTTGGTCCGCACAAGCGTATATCATACATGTTTTAACTGCCCGTCCATTCAAAATGAAAGACACTCTGTCGCTCATTATTTTGAGACCACGTCCTCTAGCATGGTGCATAATTGAGCCCTCATTTCAACCGGTTAGGCAAAAACACCCCCTATACGAGTCGAAATAATTGTTCATTCGATTCACATTTAATTAACTCGCTTCGTCGCTCATTCGAAGCCTTCCTCTTCAGCATGAAGCATTGCTCGCACTTTCATTTCGACTATATGCTTTAAGCAAAATGTCTTGTTTAATTCGTCGCGTTTCGTTCTTAAGTGGATCCAAAGGGCGCTGGAATTTTGTATTTTAACTCCAAACTCGTTGCTTCTCAGGCGTAAAAGCGTAACTTAATTTTGAGACGAGCGTTATCACGTCTTTGAATCCGGATTTTTAGTGTTTAAGAGAAAATTCAATTTAGCCCTCAAGCCAGAGGAGCAAGAAATTTGCCTAACGAGTCGTCTGCAGGTAGTTTTTTTAAATGTACGGGTGCTTTTTGTTTCAGACTGCGGGAATCTGCTGTGCTTCCGGTACTACAGCGGTCTGAGCCTGTCATGCCTAGCCCAGTCGGAGCCGATTGACCTGGACTCGGTGTACAAGCTCGCGTTGCCCAAGGACAAGGACAATGTAGCCGGGAACCGGAACAACAACCACAACCACATCAACCACCAGCAGCACCACAGCCAGAGCAACATCTACGTCTCGAGCAACAACCTGCACAGCAAAGAGCTCTCGGCCAAGCGAACCTACCTCAAGAGATCCGATGAGCCGATGAAGATCCACCCGGCCCCGGACTCGCCGCCCGCGCCCCAGTCACAAGCACCGCCCGCGGCTCCGGCCCCGCCCGCCCAGGGCAGCTCCGAGAGCGAGTCGGACAATGAGAACCTCATCAAGTCGAGCAAGAAGGGCTGGCGACTCCTCCGCAAGAAGAACAAGCGGACGAGCCCCGGCCCGGAGATCCAGCTCCCCAACGGCGAGGCCGCCTCCGACTCGGACTCGAAGCACTCCCGCAAGGAGCTCATCACGTGGAACTCCCACGAGACCCGCTGCCAGCTGACCAAGGACCCGAGCTCCGAGTACTACCCCATCTGGATCAACAACAACGACCAGAGCGTCAAGAACGAGAACCACGAGAACGGCTACGAGACGCTCTACCCCTCGGAGGAACCGCCGCCCCTCCCGCCGCGCACCTTCTCCCCGCGGCACCGCCCCCTCGAGCGCTCCAAGGCCATCCAGCCGCCGCCCCCTCCCCCGCCTCCCCCCGAGGTCTCGCGCAAGCACAAGCCCGTCAAGTACTCGGCCGATCTCCTCCGACCGTGCCTCCCGCCGAAACCAAAGAAGACCGAGTTCAGCTCCGTTGACGAGCTGTTCAGCCTCTCGAGCATCGACACGAACAGCTTCGAGGAGCACGCGCCGACGATATCCCCGACGCCGGGCTCCGCTCCCCGCCAGGCCCCCCTGGCCACGCCCGAGCTGGAGGAGACGCCGCTGGTCAACCTGGAGTCCATCCCGAACTCGGTGCTCCTCTCCAGCCCCGAGCTCCTGGACCGCCTCACCTGCCGCCTCGCCACCGCTTCTAGTCAAGATTGTGATATAAGTTTAACGACGGCCGAGGTGCCGGTGCTCAACGGCCACGTCGAGGACCCGGCCCGGGGGACCAACGGGCGGACCAGCGATAGCGGGGAGTCGGTCCTCTCGCCGGACGGCTGCGCGGCGGCCGACCCGGAGGTGGAGCTAGTCAACGGGACCGACGAGGACTCCGGCGGGAGCGTCCGTCGGGAGGTCGAGTCCCTCAACTCCTCGAGCGCCGAGTCCGTCGAGTCCGCCGAGTCCATCCCTGGACTGGAACCCGTGTCCCTCTCCACGCCGCTCGAGCCGCCACTTCGCGCCCACAAGCCTCTCTCGCGGCAGGTACGCATCGCTCCTATCTCTCTATTCAACTTCCAACTAGTATTTAGTATTGAAGGCTAAGATCGAAAAGCATCCCAAATCTCTGCTCTTATCTCATATTTGAAAGGAGCTCTGAGTCAGACCCACAGTTTCTCTTAAGATGCTCTTCGAATTTTCTTCATCCAACAATATTTTGAGACAAATCTTCTTGAAGATATTCTGGTTGGTTTCCGCTTAGGTAAACATAATCAAACCAATCCGGAGATTTTCAAAAGCCACAATGGTTATTTGAAATTTGGACCTCATCTGCAACCGGGGACTAAAATTCCTCGCTAATTTTAGAAACGACATACGCACCATCAGTTTCCTCATGCATATGAGTATTTATGCATGAGCCAGAAATTGTAGTTCCTTATTGGAAAATGCAGTCCATTTTTAACTTCACCCAAAGATAATAAAACTCAGTTATTTTTTTCTTTCTTCTCTTTTACTGTGTGGCTGTAAGTGACCATGCAAAATCGTCGCAAACGGAGAAGAAAACTTCGTGAATGGGACCCGAAGTCATGGACGAAGTTATGGATCCCTGAAGTTTTTGGATCACGCATCCGAAAACTTGAGGTCCAACTGCCGAAGTTCGGGTCAGACCTCTGAGGTACTTCGGTATATACCGAAGGGTTCAGGTCACACATCTGAAGTACTTTGGCACATACCGAGAGCTTCAGATGTCTGACCCGAACTTCGGCAGTTGGACCTCAAGTTTTCGGATGCGTGATCTGAAAACTTCAGAGATCCGTATGACCTCAACTTCGGGTCCCATGCACGAAGTTTTTTTCTCCGTGCATGTACTTTCATTTTCTAATTCTTACAGTTACTCTGATTGCCGGAATGTATTGACATGACTCTCTTTGCATTTCAGGTGAGCCATCCTCCGGACAGCACGGCGATCAAGTACCGGGAGAACCTGCTGTCTCGGCCGCAGAACAAGCTGCTGTCCCGGATAGCGGGCGGGCCGCCCTCGCCAACGCCGAGCGGGGGAACGCCGCCCCGCGCGGTGCGCCCCTCCCTGCTCCCGCGCAACGTGGCCGTCAACGGGGAGGGCCCCAGCTGCAGCGCCGCCCCCGGGGGGACGAGCCCCGACCGGGACGCCCCCGCCTTCACCGGGCCCCTCCCCCTCCGCCACATCCACACCACGCGGTTGCCCTCCATCCCGGAACGCGCCAGGAGCCACCGCGCCGAGCTACCCGCCGACGAGGAACCCCTTCCGCCTTGTGAGTACAACCTGAAATTTTCATTTGCGGATCTAGAGAGTTGGCAGCATTGTTTTCTCAACACGTAAACCTGTGTTGAATGATCGGTGGAGAGGCTTGGAGAACAAGGCACATAAGTGCAGTTTTTGCTAGTTCGACGAATACGTGTTTGAAGTTTCGAAATCACATGAACCCGATAAATGGCGGAAAGAAAGTTCGAGCTGACTTTTTGAGGCTTAAAAATTGGAATTTGGGAACGAATTTTTCACAGAAGATGCATTCAGACTAGTTTTACTTGGAATCATTAATATCTCAATCCCCTCCCCCCCCCATTGCACTCATGCGCCATGTCCTCCAGGAATCGATTCATTTCTATAGGTTTAAATGGGAAGAAAAGAATGTTGCAATTTGCTGGATCCGTCTCTGTAGTTCCTTAGTCATTTTAGTTGGTGAAACTTGGAAGTTGGGTATCGGGGCACGAAAGGATATCTTATCGAGGAGAGTGTGAGGATACAGAAAAGGATTCTCGAGAGAAAAGAGAAGGAGCTCTCAGGGGGCTTCTACGAGAAAATTTTGAAAATGTATTGTTTCATATCACAGGATATGTTATAAGCTGTTCTTGCTGAAAAATGTATTTAAATGAAATCTCAAATATGTCATGTAGTCATCGTCTTTATTCGTAGCTTTCAGCGTATGAGAAAACACAGGGTATTGAATTCGGTGGGTTAACTTTTAAAAAGCGTCAGGAAATAGTTTTGGGCAGTCATGAGAAATGAAGATTGAAAGTTTTAGCAACTTCAATTCGCGTTCACTGTTTTTCAAAAAAGTTTGGCCTTAAAGTTTGATGCAAATCTATTCGGAAAGCGCTGCCTTGATCACCATACATATTATGTTCGGGGAAGTAACATTATTTAGATTGAGCCTATAGATTCTTCATAGGAAGTGTTTAAGTCATTATGCGCCTTTTTCTCTCGAAAAATGTCTCAATTTTGCTCGATCAAAGAACAGTACTGAGGAACTTGGAAACAAGGCCGCCTTTTCCCTTCAATCCTCGATTTTCTTCGCTCCATGAATAATTTCATTGACAAACCCGGGAACAGTCGGAGAAAAGCTCAGCAATGAAACGTGTCTATTTCGGGAGCCCCATTAAAGACTTCATTCGGATTTTCGGTGAATGGAGCGGCCGAGGTTGAATGAAGACAGTCGCGATGCAGCCGTCGGACCGGGAAGAGAGGGGATCAATATTTGGTGAGAAAACACAAATTTAAGAGCCGCCGGAAATAGCCACGGCCGTGGGTGCGCGGGCGGGTGCATCGACGAACGATTTTGATTTTGGACCCAAGTGGAAAAATAACCACCAGTGGCGTGGCGTGCTTTGTGATATATCGATTGTTATGTCATTTAAACCTACGGAAAAGGATCGATAAACAGGGTGTTCGCAGCGAACACCTTAATAATCGATTCTTTACCATAGGTTTTAATAGCATAACAATCGATATATCGCAATTCACGCCACGCCACTGATAACCACGTTTGATTCGGAAACGGGGGAATCGAAGCAGCCCCACATGATCCCAATGAGTTGAAAAAATGAAGAGTTTGTGGCGCTGCTGAAGCACTCGACAAGATTGCCACAGTCAGGGAATACCGGAAAAACCGGAAAATATCAGGGAATTTTAGAAAATCGGAGAAAACCTGGAAATGTCAGGGCCAATGATAAACATGTCAGGGAAAACCTAGAAATGTCAGGGAAAAATACGAAAATGTCAGGGGAAAATTGCTAAATCGCCTTTGTTTGCTGTATAGGATGGGTTTGACGTTCAAACAATGAATTCTCCCTGAAAACGACTTCTAGTTATGTCTTTTCAACCGTTTGGCATATCTTCAATTGTCAGGGAATTTTACCAAAATTTGTCAGGGAAAACAGAGACATTTCAGGATATTTCATATTCTAAATTCTGCGGCAACTCTGACGCGGCGAAAGAAGCATTCTTTAACGAAAAATGTGCCACTTTCTCGCCATAAAATCGTAGAGTGGCTACACTAGCTACTGTTAGAGATAAATCTGGAAAATTGAAGAAAATCGGGAGAAAAAATTGGTGAGGGTGAAGCGGGCGGGGAAAGTCATGGGAGAAGAACCGAAGTTCTTATAAAATTTAAGTGATAATCGACAAACTTTTACGATACAGCTGCTGTTAGAGCTGTTCAAGAGTGTTTTACTATCCTTTGCCTTGCGAAAAGTGGTTATCTGTTTATTGCGAGCATTACATGCACTAATGACCTATTTTGATTTAATGTGTCTAGACTGGGAAGCTCGCATCGACAGTCATGGGCGAGTTTTCTACATTGATCATGTGAATCGAACGACCACCTGGCAGCGACCTACACAGAGCAGCACGTCACGAGTCCGTCCAGTCAACAACGACCTTCAACGACAGCAGCTTCTTGACCGGAGGTATGTGTGCGGAGCCATGTCTACAAACACAACTTTCTCTATTTTTGCTCCTCTAATCATTAAAAAAAAGTCATCATCGTTTGTTCTTTAATAGCCTACATGCCAAAAATACAAGTGTCAAAGGTTACGGCTTATCATAAATCTGACCTTTTGAGTGGAACATTATTTCCTGTTTTGATGCGAGTTTCATCATTTGTTCCTTTCGTGAGATATTGTTGCCTTCGAGATTGTCAGATTATCCCGTAATTAAGGCGCTGTAAAGTTTGTTTACCTATCGCCCATAAATATTTGTACTTCGCACAATTTTTGGGTGGAGATAAGTAATGGAGGATTCGAACGCAAATTTTTTATCGCTTCATCTGAAAGTGCCTAAAGAGCTGACTTCGCAGTATTTTTTATAATTTTTTTTTATAGAGTATAAAAATAGTTTTAAAGTGTGAAAGCGCACCACCTTGTGACGTTATCTGGCGGCATTTCCCGTGTGAGCATGTATTTTAGCAATTTAGATCTTTTTGTCATATCTCCTCCAATAATTGTTCAATTTTTGCACGAAGAGTATCATAGTGCTCAATTCTCTCAGCAGTTTCCGCCTAAAAACGAAATTCATCAAACTTAAGACACCTGCATGCAAAGGCTCTATTATCCTAATGCTACACCTACAGGGTGATCCAAAAGTCCCACACCAACAGCACCAGGCAACACCCACATAACTTTTGTATGAATGGAGATGGATAGAGACTCGAAATTTTGCGAGTGCTTCTAAATCAAAGACACGACTCTCGGGAACCTCCGGAATTTTGAAGTGTCCAGGGTGTCTACAAGTCGGGAATCTCCGGAAAGTCCGGAAATAGTACTGATTTTTTAAGGGCGTTCCGGAAGTACTGAAAAAGTGCGGAAATTCCGCAAAAAGGTCCGGATTTTTTTTTATTTTTTGTCATTTTTGTTTCAATTTCAAATTTTTGAAATCTTTCTAATTTCGTCAAATTGAGGTACTTTAAAAGTACGGAATTTTTCTGTTGGAGGAGGTACTGAATTTCTCGACTTATTTTTGACCAGTTTTAGTAGACACGCTGAGTGTCAAGTTAATGTATTGTAAATTAAAAATGGAATGATTGTGTGCTATCAGATACCAGAGCATTCGAAGGACGATCACCTCACGAGCTGCTTTGGACGATGGCGGGAGCAGTAGCGGGAGCCCGAGCACGAGTGCCGAAGGGATGGAGACGTCGCAGTCACCCTCCCAGTCGACGTCAGCCGACAGCAGTTGCAGCAGCAGTAGCAGTGGTAGTGGCAGTGGGAGCGGGAGTGAACTCACCTTCAACCAACCGCCAGCCCTCAAGTTCCTTGCCCGACCTGACTTCTTCTCCGTCCTACATATGAACACTGTAAGAAACTTTCCTTATTTTAGCACAGGGCCGGATTTAAATTTTTAGCGCCCCAGGCTAAACTTAGGATGGCGCTCCTAAAAGTAGGCGCTCTCGTGGGGGGGGGGGCGCCTTCCAGACGCCCCTCCCCTCCAGATCAGAGGGAGGATGTTAGGAGTCCGGAAAATGTTCAAATTCACCTTTAAATAAACACCTTTGTCAACCACAACGTAGACATGTTTTAATAAGTCGCGTTTTTTAATAAATTCTCAAAATTGTTGCGCCCTAGGCTATAGCTATAGAAAAGTATTTGAAATAACCTTATTTTCTTTCCAACCCTGCTTTTGTATTTGAAACTGTGTGTACTCTTAAGTTCGACTGAACACACTTAAATTTTCTTGAAAATTTTGTAAAAAGCGACAAATATTTACCTGGAGAAGTGGAGATGTATCAGAAAATGAGCACCATGTATACTATTTTTAAAAATTTGCAACAGTTTTAATCGAAAGTACAAAAATTGGCTTTAGTTTTCGTTCTTTAAGTCTGTAAGAAAAAAATTGGAAATAAGTTTTCAAGGATTACATTATTTTGTTCTGCAGACAATAATCTGACTCACAACATGTTTTCTTGAACAGTTTTCATCATAATCAAAATAGCTCATGTCAAAAATACTGTGATTCGAACTTTTAAAATTCGAGATCAGTCATTAAACGCATGTTCACTCTCAAGCCATCAAAATCAACTGTTCTCATCAGTAATAAAGAAATTTTAAGACTAACAAGCTAGCCGAAGTTACACTGACACGATAGCCGGTGATACCATGCCGCACAGCAAAGAGCCTGCAAATACGGGTGTATGCAACCAGCACAACATTAGAGATGTATTAGTTGCTTCACTCCAGGCAGTTTCTTGACAGGAATACCTACCGTGCGTGCCGTGCTTGATGTGGAAAAGTTACAGATAAATCAAGAGGAAACTTGCAAAAGCTTAAAAAATCTGAATTTGTGAATGAGATTATTCATTATTGGGTAGAATTCTACTGTTTGCTTTGTGAACTCCTTTTTTTTCATTTCTTGAAGATATTTTCTCTTTATTTTTATTCATTCTGTTTACATTTTCTTACATTTCAGGACGCATTAACTTTATACAACCGCAACAGTTCTTTGAAACATATGATTTCAAAAATCAGGAGGGATCCCAGTGCGTTTAGCAGATACCAACACAACCGTGATCTGGTCGCTCTGGTGAATATTTTTGCAGAAAATTCACGGGAACTACCTCGTGGCTGGGAAGCTAAATGTGATAAAAATGGAAAGGTTAGTTTCAAACTTACGTTTTACTTGTTTTCCTTTTTTCCTCTCAACCTTCGCAAAGTGTACTTGTAAGCTTGTACACTTACAGACAATCACTAATAATGTCAAATAGCTAACTTAACCTAACCAGGTGGCAACATCAATAATTATCTTTTTGTTTATTAATTATGTGTATTTATTATTCTAGGTATTCTCATGATGACTGAATGAGTAATGAATTTTTTCTCTTTTTTACTTTGCTCATGATGAAACTGGTGCTGTGAAAGTGTTCCTAGCTCCCTGCATTCTTTGTCGATATTGTCGTAACCCATATTTGTTTTTCCAGAGATTGAATTTGCAGGCATTTCAATATTTAGGGGTCTTTCAACTTTTTCGTTTAATCTGGAAAACAAGTTAAAAGTTTTTTCGCAGTATTTGCTACTAGGAGGGGTAATTTTTGTTGATTAAATATGAAAAATGATTCCAGTTGTTTTTTTTAAAAAAAACAGGGGGAAAATGTCTTATCCCAAGAAAGTCTTGTTTTGACCTTGAGGGTGGACTTCAGGAGTCATCTGCAATGTTAAGCATTATCTTTTTTGAGGAAAAAATGCTATAGTTGGAGCTTTTTTTCTTTCAGCAATTTTTTATTGACCACACAAGCAAAACGACTACATTTATTGATCCGCGTGTCCCTACGGAAGCTCCGTATTTATGTCCATTAAAATTATGGTCAAGCCCTCTTGGTGGAGCACGAAGACGTAGCCCAAGTGTCGGCGACCAAGATATGTCCTTATCCAAAGTGAGTCATTGATTATTTCGTAGTGAGCTCAACATGTTGCTGCACCGTGTCTTTTTTGGTATTTTTTATAGTTTTTCATTTTCCCGGCATAAATTGGCTCCAGTTGCACTATTTTGATGTTATCATTTTCATCTGCTATCTTCCTCATTTCGTTTGTTCGTTTGTTTTTCTTTTAATTTAGCTCATTTTCAGTAAATGTATCTTTTTTTTTTTTTGTATTTCTGCGATTGGTTTTTATTATTCCTGGGAAAATACTTTTTGTAAGGGTGTGGATTATGCAAGCTTTTCGCTTTATTAATAAAATTGTCAGAGGCCAAAAATCTCATGTGAAGCTTATTTTTCTTTTTCTTGTAGTGTCAGTATCCGTATCAAGTGTCTATTCTTAGACAGCTCAAACCTCACATAAATGCAGAAACATTTTTATCATCACCGAAGTTCATTTCTTAAGTATATTAACGAACATGCAAACTGAGCCTATTATCAGCCCACAAAACTTGTTTTAATCCATTGTCTATAATTCGTGTACATCGCACATATTTAGCTCTGGCCTTTATTACAATACCTAGTCTTCAGCAAAAAGTAGACTCATAACTTTTCCTCACATTTTTTTGGTTTTGATTAGCTAAAAATGCCATGACTCATTTATTTCTCCTGGTTTTTTAATGCAGTCATAATTTAACAACAGTACATCTTAAGTCGAGCACTTTTATTACTTTTGGACCCTCCGATCACTCCTCGGTATTGAGCACTTATTAAAATTCCATCATTAGTTTTATATCTGGATGCAAAAGTAGTAGTGACTTGTAAATTGCAGTTATTATCCTTATTTACGTTTGTTTATTTATGCATTAATCGTATTGTAGATGTTTGACAGTGTTACTTTAAGTTTTAAAAGTTGGAAAATTATGCTTATGTAATGATTGTGCTGGCCAATGCTCTTTATCTGTAAGATTCATCCAGATTATTGTTGATTACCCAATCATCCACCACACATTACTCTCAACTCATGAGACTTAATCATGATGAAGCCACAGTTGAGCACAGAACCTCATGGAAAGAAGGCTCTCTGTTTCAAATCATTGTGCTCCCTCCAACTCTAAAGCTTATCGGTAGTTATTCAATACTCTGGCCCATTCAAGAGTTATGTCAAGATATTACAGTGAATGGAGCTTCAGTCTGCTGGACATTCTGTCAATTGAGGGCTTGCTCGTCCGCTATTTCTCTCTTCATCTAGTCACAATACCATTTCGGAGTAAATTGTTTTCGTGTTTGTATTTAGCATTGTGCTGGCTGCTCAAACTGGCTAATTTATTCTGTATTATTAATTTCGACGGTGGAGGATGACTTATCAGTTGTGCAGTTTTGCTTTCAAAGTGTCACAGTCGCTTTTCCTGGTTTGTCTGTTTTTCCCCCCTATTCGATTCTTGTGGAGCTCAAGCCAAGTTTTTAATTTTTTGCTACTTAGGATATGAGCTGTTCATAAAATATGTAACTTTAAATTTGGGATTTTTAGATCCCCCTCTCCCTTGGAGCGCTTTCGTGAAGCAGGCCCTGGTCCCTATCCCTTGACACTTTTAAACAAGATGGCACACTGCTCTCTGGGACCCCCTCCCACTATACAGAGCTTTACATATTTTATGAACAGCCCCTATTGCAAATACTGACTTGGTTTATTCATTTATTAATTTATTTGCTCTGATTTCAATCTTGAGAGAAGTTGGTATACCTCCCTTAAGAATTAATTTTCTGTCAACTTTAATGGAACTCACTTAACTCCTTACCATCTTGCACCAAAATTTGATTAAGGGCTTAAAGATTTCATTTACTGTTTTTGATATATTTATCACTGAATAACAGCAAAAATTAGGCGCCGTATTATGCATGGACACCATTTAATTGAAGTTCCTTATCATACTACTATTGCTATTCCTTGAACAAAGCATCCCTTTCATTTTTTACAACGCGCATCCTTTCAAGCAAAAAATTTTGACCAGCTCAATGGAGAGGAAGGAATTCTCATCTCTCAGATTCACGCTGAGCTCTGCGTAACCTGATTTTTCCTTTTTAGAGGTAAATGTATCAGGAACAGCCTTGTCAAATCTTTAACTGCCCAATGGGACTTTTCCATATGATGATGATGAGGAGTATAATACATTTTAGTTTCATCCAAAGAGACCAAAAACTGAACTTTATTTAGGATTGCTGACTTGTTTTCCAACCTTCCCCCCCCCCCTTGTAATCAGTAGGTGTTTTAAATCCTTAATAAGTATGCTTATGAAAACCTACTGGACCTAAATGTTCGTCAGCAAGAGGAAGATCAAAGCCGAAGACCTTAAAAAGGAAATTTATGATTTGCAGAGTTGTTCTATACAGTGAGCATCAATAAACATCAAGATAGATCAGCTTTTGAATCTATTTTCTCAATACAATGAGCATCAATGAACATCAAGATGGATCAGCTTTTGACTCTTTTCTCATGAGTGTCCTCTTTTTTACAGAGTCCAGTTGCTCCGGTTCCTCCTCCTCGTTCGCCTGCTCCTGGAGCTGTGTCTCGCCTGCAGCCAGAAATACCAACTGCCTACAACGACAAAGTAGTCGCATTCCTCCGTCAGCCAAACATCATCGACATCCTCCGAGAGAGACATTCACCCCTCGGCTCAAACCAGGGCCTCCGTGATAAAGTGAATGCTGTGCGTGTGGAAGGAACTGCCGCTCTGGATAGGTTAAGCGATGACATCGATCTGACAATCCTTCTAAGGTGAGTCCTCTTTTTCTTTTTTCTACCTTTCTCCAGTGATTTTTTGTCTTGCTGTTCACACCAGGATAAGAATGGAGAATTTGCACACAAATTTTTTATTGCTTCATCTGAGAGTGCTTAAAGAGCTGATTATGCAGTTTTTTTTTTCAATTTTGCTCTGTTATGGGAAAAAGTATCAAAATAGATTTAAAAGTGAAAAATACACCGCTCAGTAATGTCACCTAGTAGCACTTCCCATTTAAACACATGTATTTTAGTGGATCAGATAATTTTGTCACATCTCCTTCTATAATTGTTCAATTTATGAACCAAGAGTATCCTTGTGTTCAGTATTCACTCGGTGGTTTCCACTAAAACGAGAAATTCATCTTGACACTTGCAAATTCTCCATTTCTTTTTAACTTGTTCTTTATCTGGGTAATTGCATCGAATGTTGTCTATCTTTGACAATTAGATGAAGTTTCCATTCTGAGCAGATCCTTTTTTTATGCCAACGCCATTTTCGGCGAGTAGCTTCGTAACAAACATGCGAGACCGAACGGCAGCGCGAGATCAGGGATCCTATGTCTAGCGTTGTGCCTATCCAGCCCTCTGCAGGCGTTTTTTATCCGGTAGATAACATCGCGTCGCATCACTCGCATCCTTGCATCGTATCGTTGAAATCGACTCGTGTCATCCTTGTTGATCGCCGCCACACCGCAGGGGCCTCTCAACTGCACAGTGGGCGGATCTTATTCGGTGACTTGAACGCGCGAGCACAAAAAAGGTCCTCGCGGAAAGCGGCCCCTTCCACTCTCTTTTGAGTTTTCCCTGGACATTATTTTGATAAGTCGTGTTGCTTTTGCTTTAAAATTTCAATTTCCACGCGCGGGAAGGGATGAGAGTACACAGTTCGCCATTTACTACGAGAGGTTATCGAGAATTTATACCATATCAATACTCCTTTTTTAACGGATGTCTTTGCACTGCAAGGAAATTTAACACAAGTTTTTAGGGCCCAACCAACGCTCAAGTCATCACACCCAATGGAAAAAAATAATTTTAACCATTTTCTTTCCTCCTCCCATACTAACGCCTTTATTTACTTTTTACAGCTTTTTTCGCACCTCCCCCCCCTCCTTTTCTTTTGTTTGCTCTGTGCAATTTTTCTAGCCCATTGCTCATTGATGGAGCTTTTTGAAACTTTTTACTCGCATTCCTCACAAAATTTCTTACACAATTTTCTACCTCCCTCTCGATTCTTCGATCGTTTTATATCCCCCCCCCGCCCCTCTTCTAGCACCCTGCGGTGGGCGGTAGCAGCAATTAGGGTACAGGGAGCGCTGGGAGCAGGGCGAGCGTGTCAATTTTGCTGGCTACGGCACGCCACTTTGCCCAATTATTCGGTTATTTATCACCGTTTCCGTTCGCTCTGTTCCCGTGGTTGTCAGCTCTCTTTGTTTATTTCATGTTTCGTTATCAAAATTTCACAACGCAATCGAATTTCGACAACCTCGCTGTCACCCTTAATCGTTTTTCGTTTAAGTCTGGTAACGAAGGAAGTAAACATGAAATCGATACAGTTGATACGTCACCTATTGATAAGTTTTCAACTACCCATGCTGTACTCGAACTCCGTAATGAAATAATTACCATAGTCGTCACCTTTGATGGTGAAAGTGCAATCTTTCAAATGCAAATAGTTACCCCCCGCTCTAAGTAGGCGTCTCAATTTTTAGGACAAAACTAGGAGTTTATCTACTTTCGGCGGACTGTAAACTCGGCAAATGATAAGGAAAAGAAAGCGAAAATGAAAGCGACTTGGTTTGTGTAAACTTAAGCATTTAGCCTACTTTTCCTCGCATCTTATCTTTAGCTCACTTTCGTTATCCCCCCCCCCTCTTTTCCCCTTATTTTCTTTCTGGAAGAAACACTGTTCTTTCAGCAAGGCACAAGTGAGCATTCAATTAGACTTTATTTTGCCTTATCAGGAACCACTATTTTTGGTTTATTTCAGAAAAAATTGATGTTTCATCAGTCTCCTTTTGCAAATAGTTAGTTGCCGTACCAATTTATATCGATGGCGAAACTACTAAGCCATAAATCTCGATTGGAAATATCCGCTTTTGTCTGATTTTTTCAAAGAAAATGCAGCTCGACTTTGTTGCGTGAATTTTTTTTTGAGAATACTGTCAAAAAGAACGAAGGAAAATCAAGCGAAAATTTTGTGCTAAAACCACGACTAGGCGGCCATACCTAAGAAAATTATTGGAGATTATCAACGTTGTGAACTGAGATGTGTCGTTTGGTACTTTCGCCATCGATGTGTTTTTTTATAGCATGATCAAAGCATGTCTCATATCTCATAGTATGTTCACATCATTAGGAGAGAGAAGGATAAAGAAAATCCACACCCAGCGTGTTTTAGTCGGCACGCCTGCATCGGGCTTCAGCTCAATCTCGGAATGAATGGTATTTTGCATCACGTAGTCCTTCATTGATATCATACGAGGACTCTGTATGAATTTGGATATTTATGTAAATGAAAAAATAGTTGGCGGTCAGAAATCATTGTTTCGTTTCTTATCATGTTACTTCATCGTTTCGAATTATTCAACGCGCTAAAAATTGCCTTCGGAATTGCCGGCGGAAAATTGTGCAAGTTATCAGCTTAAAATAATCGCGTCAAAAACAGTCACGTGCTGAATTTTTTTCAGAACTATTACGAACTTAAAATCAGTGCTGTAATTTTAACCCCCCATTACGATTTCAAGGAATTGAACTGATATTTTATGAAAAATAGTAGATGTGTTCCGTATCATTTTTCGCTGCAAAAATAGAAATTCTGTTGGTGATCGTTCACGGGAGACGGGGCTTTATCCCTCAAAAACTCAAAATCGGTTCATTGATGCTAGATCATAGACGAAAGTTCTACTCGCCTTATAGGCCAAAAAACGCCCAGTTTCAAACGAAATTAGGAGTTCTGGCAATCTTTAGTTCGCACCATACAAAAACTTGATACATAACTTGATAGCAAGTGGCGTTACGGCTGAGTCGTCAGGGTGTCTACAAGTCCGGAAAGTCCGGTAATAGTTCTGATTTTTGAAGGGCGGTCCGGAAGTACTGAAAAAGTGCGGAAATTCCGGAAGAAGATCCGGAATTTTTCTAATTTGTTTGTCATTTTTGTCTCAATTTAAGCGAAATTCAAATTTCTAAAATTTCGTCAATAATTGAAAGTACTGAATTTTTCTGTTGAGGAGGTACTGAATTTCTTGGGAATGTACTGAAAAAGTACTGATTTTTGGCTAGCCTGTTTTAGTAGACACCCTGGTCGTGAATCTTCGTCAGCGGGAGACGTCGAAACGCGTCCGGAAGCGTCACGCACGTTCGTCCCGGACAGGCGTGGAAATGGCGCGCGATTTTTGGAATTTGCGCGGCGCCGCACAGTGGATCGAGTCAATCGAAGATGTCCAACACGAAATTTTTGACTTCTACTGCAAATTTTTATGTTTATTTCGTCACAATTTAAATTTTGAGGGGTGCTTTTAGTAGAAACTTTCATGAAGAAACCAATGAAACTACTTTTAAAACCTCAAAGTTTTGTATAAGCGGAATTGTAAGCTTTTAAAGTTTCCAAATTTTGTCCAACCTCTCCCGTTGACTCGATCCACTGTGCGCCGAGTTGGGACGCGAGTCGCAGTTGATTTTAGGACCCGTCGAAAAACGTCGCTGCGTGTACGAACTATTCCAAGTTCAAAGCCGCGTCACGCATGTCCGTCACGAAGGATTAACGCACCTGAGTCGCGTGGACTCGTGTTTTGTTGGTTGTATCGTTTGTTTGAACATAGATATTGTTTTACGCTCTTAATCACTCCGACGTGTAAATCACGCAAAAAAAGCTATTAAACTCCCGTAAACAGAAATGAAAATGGGAGGAATTCCACGCAATTTTTAAAATAAGCCGGAAGGACGCGGTATTTTTTTTCTAAACACGAAAGCGAAATTCATACCTAGTAATCTTGCGCAGTCCTTTAAGATTTGTCGTAGGCAGGCAATCGGTGAAAATTTGTAAGTGACATGCCTGTTGATTCGTCACATTGTAATGATCCACCTTGACAATAAAGGTTTCATCGTTAAGGACGGAAGCAGTAACCCGGCCTGGAGCGCCTTCAATCTCGGTGATACCCCCCGCTTTGCCAGGCAGTTAGTTTAGTTGCCTATCCGAACTAAACCCAACTGAGGTCACTGATTTCACTGCACGCACTCGCGAGTGAGCTAGCACTGGTAGCTGCTACCATTTATTCAAGAAAAATAAAAATGCCTGTTTGAATTCCCAGCATAGTAGTCAGCACCATCTATTGTGTTCGTTTACCTCTTAATTTTTACATTTTTTTATTGAGTAGATTGCAATTTGTCTGCGATTGCTAATGTCCGCAACAGCTGATCAATCTACTGTGAATTGCAAGTTAGAAGTTGAGTTAAATGTGCAAGAATCATGATTTCAAATTGTTCAATCTTCATATCTCTGGTTAAGGTTTGATGCGGTATTTGCATTTTAGACGCTCATTTCGTTTAAATATTAAAGATAATGTATGCATCTGTTTTTGTTATTCTTTCTTCGCTTTTCATTTACTGCATATAAAGTTTTTGTACAATTTTTAAGCTCTTATAAAAACAATCAAATTTTTCGATATTTTCGATTGCATCTCCGCTTGCCACAAGATTAGAATGGAGCCAAGTTAAAGTTACTTTTTCTTTGAAAAGCGTTTACGCACTCAATGTAACAATGAAGTGTGTTTTACAACACTGTCCCAACCCACCGTCCCATGAAACGCCATATCTAGTAGCAACAAAAATTAGCATTTCAACCGTGTTCGCGGTAGTCAAGGAAAATTTGGATTTTCTTTTCGGCAGCGGTGCGGGGGGGGGGGGCTATTCTTTTGCTCATTGATCTGAATGGGCCGTAGAATATGCATGCAAACCAGGCGCAAATCACTCTGACGAATACGGACATTGAACGT